GCTGCCAGCTTTTTGGGAGAGGTTCCTTCCACTCAGCACAAAATCCAGCGCCGGCCCCAGCAGGATCTTCTGTACCGCTTGACAGGTCCCGAGCCCTCTTGCCGTGGCGGCAGGTCTGTGGATGCAGATGTATGCACAGGGGCTACGCGGGGCGCATTCACAAAGGACTGTGCTGGGATGCCCAGTGATTTGGGCTGGGAAACAGCAGGGCAAACTGGTTTAGCAGAGGCGTGGGCCCGTGGGGCACAGCACAGAGCTGGGACTCCAGCAGTGCCGTGGAGCAAGAAGTCTGGTATCTTCATGCATGTGCCCAAATTGCATGTTTGGGAAAAGGAGTTTCCCTATTCCCTTCTGCAGAACAAAAAAAAAAAAAATATTTTGCTGGCTGGACGCAAACTTTGTGCTTGACGTTTTTTGTTCAATTGTGCCATAAATCTGCTGACCTGAGGGAATAAGTGCTCGTTCCCTGCTCCGCGATCCCATACAAGCCGGGATGCTACGGGCACAGACCTCACTTCACCAAGCTGGGCAGCCATGCCTGCTTTGCTCCTTCCTCGCGTGGAAGCCACCCCTGCCCTCCAACAGCCCAGGGGCCCCATGTGTGCTGTTTCTGGCTCTGTCCCTTTTGTGATGGGAGAAACAAAACAGTGGGCAATAACCGAGAGCAGGTTTCACCCCAGATTTATACAGCAGCAGGACGAGGGTATTTTGTGTTGTCCTTGGTTGCTTTCTTGATAATCCCTGATGTTTACTTCCCTTCTTTCTTGGCCAGCGGCGAGCTTGTGACTCTCTGATCTCTCCTGCAAGTGGCATTAGCTAATTTAAGTCCACCTTCACGCCGTGCTTCCTTGATTACACCGCCTGTGCATCACTTTGCGTCTACCAACACGGACTGCAATCTGCTGTCAATGTGCCCGGTTGCTCAGCAGCGTTATTGGCCCCTTGAACTCTTCAAGGCAGCTTCAGTCCTTTACTGCCCTAAATTAGTGTCGCAGCTAATTCTGTCCCATCACTGCTCATGCGTTTTCCCAGAAAACTTATGATGATGCTGAAAAGCACAAGAGCTGAAAAGCACGAGTCCCAGTGCAGCGCCTGAGGAAGGCAATCTCTGGTACCTCCCTCCCCCCTGAGAGCTGACCTGCCATCTTACCTTCTGTAGCCTGCACGCTTAACCGTGGAGACCGGCATCTTATAGCACGAGATAGACCAAGGACATTTGGTGCAGGACCTCGTCCAAAGCTTTTTGGCATTCAGGTACAGTATGTACACACACTGAGCTTCACCCACACGCTTCTCGCCACCTCTGAGGAGCAGCAGAAAGGCAAGATTTCTGCCTGGAGAGGAGCTGTGTCATCATCTAGCCTCAGCAGAAAGAAATGCTTTGCTTAACTCTACATCACCAAGAAGAGGGGGAATCAGCTGCTGAGGGGTCCCTCACCCACCGCTGAGGAGAGGGAACACCCAAGGCTGAGGGGTCCCTCACCATGTCTGAAGAGAGGGGACAACCATGGCTGAGGGGTCCCTCACTGTTACTGAGGAGAGGAGACACCGTGGGTGAGAGGTTCCTCACCCACCACTGAGGAGAGGGGACACCATGGGTGAGAGGTGCCTCATCCACCACTGAGGAGAGGGGACACCATTGGCTAAGGGGTCCCTCACCGTTGCTGAGGAGAGGGGACACCCATGGCTGAGGGGTCCCTCACCATGTCTCAAGAGATGGGACACCCATGGCTGAGAGGTCCCTCACCCACCACTGAGGAGAGGGGACAACCATGGGTGAGGAGTCCCTCACCATTGCTGAGGAGAGGGGACACTCATGGCTGAGGGGTTCCTCACCCACCACTGAGGAGAGGGGACACCATGGGTGAGGGGTTCCTCACCATGGCTGAGGAGAGGGGACACCATTGGCTAAGGGGTCCCTCACCATGGCTGAGGGGTCCCTCACCCACTGCTAAGGAGATGGGACACCCATGGCTAACGGGTCCCTCACCATGTCTCAAAAGAGGGGACACCATGGCTGAGGGGTCACTCACCCACTGCTGAGCAGAGGGGACAACCATGGCTGAGGGGCTCCTCACTGTTACTGAGGAGAGGGGACACCATGGGTGAGGGGTTCCTCACCATGGCTGAGGAGAGGGGACACCATTGGCTAAGGGGTCCCTCACCATGGCTGAGGGGTCCCTCACCCACTGCTAAGGAGATGGGACACCCATGGCTAACGGGTCCCTCACCATGTCTCAAGAGAGGGGACACCATGGCTGAGGGGTTCCTCACTGATCACCAAGGAGAGGGGAAACCCATGGCCGAGGGGACCTTCACCCATCACCGAGGAGAGGGGACACCATGGGTGAGGAGTCCCTCACCATTGCTGAGGAGAGGGGACACCCCCTGGCTGAGGGGTCCCCCACCCACGGCTGAGGGGT